CAGCTAGAGAAGTTGCAGGGAGCGGCATTAGGTGCTGGGAGTTGGAGAAATCCTCCAGCTGCTGGAGAAAACTGCAGGAGAGCCATGAGGAGCTGGGAAGCTGCAGGGGGGTGGGGATGACTACTGAAGGTGTGGGAGAAGCCTGAAAACAGAGAGATGACAGCAGAAAATCGCAGGAAAAGCAGCAGGAGAGACTGAAAGGCAGCAGGGCAGTGGGAAAGCAGACAAAGGCAGCAGAAAGTCCCAGGGAAAAGGCAGTAGATGGCACAGGAGGCTGAAAGTCAGCAGGGACAGCATGAAAGCAAGGAGAGGCTGAGAGGTGGCAGAAAAGGAGAGATGGAATTGGGAGATCGGGAAACTAGCAGAGAGTGGAGGCTGGAGCTGAGAGAGAAAGAGAACAAGCCTGGAATTTAAGATAGGGAAGGGACTGGGATTCAGTAAAACATGACCCAACTCGGGGCTGCAAATGACAGTGGTTTTATTGAACAGGGGAGATGGTGACACAATGTCTTATTGGTTCCCTTGCACCCACCCACACCCACACACAATAGCAGCAGGGATTAGAGAGGCTTGGTGCAGGGGCTGAAGCCCACTGAAGTCCAGGAGGAGAGAGAATGAGAGAGTCCAAATTGTAGGAGGAGGTGTGCAGGTAATATCTACCTATCCCAGGCTGGAAAGAGGTCCTTGCCCAGTAGGTGTTGTCCAGAGGGGGGTCGCTAGCAGGGCCTCTGGGTGGATAGGTGGTGTGGCGTGGTGCTGGTCCAGATGGAGAGGGCATCCCACTGGGTTTGTCTTCACTGCCCCTTTTTATAGGGGCAGACCTTGTGTGATCCTAGAGACAGGAGGCATACCCAGGAAAGGGTCAGCCCCTGGTGTACTGAGCATGTGTGCTCCATGCAGGCATGTGCAGTTTCAGGTGTCTGTAATGGCAGGGTACAATGATAGAGTTTCTGGTTGTGCAAGGTCTTTTGTCTTTCAGATGCTGGGTTCTTGTCTCCCTTCCTGGGTGAGTTCCATGGTTCCTGGATGAGTCAATGCGAGGTGATGGCCCAGTCATTACAGGCCATTCAGTAGAGGCCTGCTACCATTGTATTTTAATCATTCCCAATCACTGTCATTCATCCAGGAACCAATTTTCATGGGAGAGGTACGTGACTCACATAGTTGCAACATGGGATGCCCAGGCAGAGGACAGAAGATGGAGGCTTGACATATAAAATGGAAACTTGACATGACTTTGGTTCATTTACAAACACAGGCCTAAACAATACAATATCCATTTGAAACAATTAAAATCAATACAAAAGTGATAACAATACCACAGTAAAAATCAATACAAAACTAATAATTATACAATATAAAGCAGTGGATATCCAGAACCAAACATTTGCTACCAAAATAAAAATGTTAAAGCTTATCCTAAGTCTGAGCTCACTTATACTTATCTATAGGGAATAGAGAGGGAGAGAAAAAGTCAGAAATGGTTGGGGAAGGGGAGGGAATGCATTTTAAAATAAATTAAAAAAAAAAAAAGAAGAAAAACTGGGGGGTTTACTACAAATTCTTTTCACTCTGTGGGAAATCACCATCCCCTGGTATACATGCCTGTAGGGCAATGAATCAGAATCCACAAACCTTAAACAAATATGTTATTGCTCAGAAAGGGGAATTTAAACAACAGAAATGTCTTTTGGTTCTTCTGAAACCCCCACTCATGAGGGCATGGTTGGAGCTGGCTGTGTTGGCTGTACAGGTCTACATTTCACCAGCACTGAATTCCCATTTGTTTTTATTTTGTTTTAATAAACAGGGAATTGGATACTACTTCCCCTTGCCTCCCTAAATAGGGCAAAGATTGGATTTTATGTAGGGAGATATTGCAGGTTTCATTCTGCTATTGTTACAGTAAGTATTCTGGGCAGTGTCAAATGGATTAGAGATGAAGGCTATAATGAGTGAATTTCTGGTTGTACAGTAGAAAGGAAATAAGAAAAAGAGAGAATTAATCTTGAACAGGAAATTGCTGTATAAAGAATAACACAACCCCCCTCTGGAAACAAGGTCAAGAGCTAACCTTGACCACAACGGTAACAAGATGGTAGCAGCAGGTTCCAGGACTATTTAACAGTACATAGCAATGCTACAGAACAGTATAGGGCTGGCAGAAGAACATCAGAGAATTTCTTGCACAAGTTGTTGTTTTTTCAGTAACTCTGTGACAGGAAAATGCTGTTACTAACTTTCGTTTCTTATTAAAGTCAGCTTAGGGTGTGGCTACAAGAGAGTTTTATAATGAAACAGTGGGTAGAAACTGCCTGCAGTCTCTGAGCTCTAGTCATCTTAGGGAATAGAGAAAGCAAATACTTGAGACTGAGACTGTTGAGTTGAAGTCACAGCTCTTCATCAAAATCACTGAGGAAAAAAGGTAAGGTAGAGATACATGCGGTATGTAGTGTTGGGGATTTATAGAGTGCTCATCACAATTTTTTTTTCATTGCCACTTTCCCCCTTTAGTGAATATGGAGAGGATAAAGTACAAAGAGAGGGTAATCCCCTGAAGAGAACATAAAGAGCATGTGTGTGTATGGGGATGTTTATGGGAAGAGTAAGAAATGCCATGAATATGTCGGTACTCATTTTTTAGAAGGAATAATAATTGTATAATGTATTTATCCCAAGGAAAAATCTGCAATCCCAGTTTACATCTGGAGTTCTTTGAAAACTTTTAGGGACCATGCTAAAATGCCGAAACTGACTCCAGGCAAAAAAAGCTCCACTCCTGAAAGTACCAAGCAGAAGAAAGTTTCTCAGAGAGAGGCTGGATGTGGCAGAGACAAAACCACACAGTACAATGAGGAGCAAGATTGCCCAGGAGTTGTGGCTCATCCCCAGTTTCTATCAGATGTAGCAGAATTTGCAGCTAGTACACCTAGACAAAAGTCGTGGGCACTGGTGGCTCCAGAGTCCTCAGAGCAGCTGTCAAAAAGTGACCCACAGCAGAGAAGAAGGAGGAAAGCTCCAGGTGAGTGGATTTTATTTTTGCTGGTTAACGTTGTTAAGGTTCCTGTAGAGGTGCTGCAGGCTTCCCAGGGTTTCCTTTTTAAGGCAATGAATATCTCTGTGTATGTCACTTTCATCCAGAGATTTAACTGGAATTGCCACTTTTTGTCTTCTCTCTCTCTCTCTCAGGCTGGCCTCAGACGAGCTTGTCAGAGGAAGAGTCTGGTGGATAGGCAAGCACAGCTCAATTAAGTCAGACAGCTGCAGTGAATGTGACTTGGGGAATCAGTGATGTGGCATTATCTTTTCTTTCTTACCCTCTATTTCACCCCATAGAAAGGCAACCTTTCAAAACCTTTCATTAACACAAAGATTTGGACTTTCTAGCAGTTGTTACTATAGATTCTTGTATTCTTATCCATGCAACTATTCCTTTTGAAATTAGTGGACCTGTTCATGTCAGTAAGGAATTGCTGAGTCTGGAAGACATTTCACTGAAGATACAGGTAGTTACTGGACATTGGAGTGGAAGCATGGTAACAGAGCAGTTCAGGTGTTTTTATACAGCTTCGGTGAGCCCCATTGTGGACTCATACCAAAGGCTGGTTCCAGTCAACTCAGCTGAATATAAGTTAATGGTTATTCAGGATGGAGAGTCAAAGGTAACTATATTGTTTACTAGCCACATCATTTCTTGTGTGCCACTGGCAACAACAAAAAAATGCATCTTAACCATGTTGGCCTAATGGAACCAGAAAACTGAAAAGATTTTTTAATATTTAATGACTGAACCTGACAGACATTTTTGCTCAGATAACACCTCTTGTTGAAAGATCCCACTGCTGCTGTTCTGGGGCCCTGAAATCCATTCCAGTTGTTATCTTCCTACGCTAAATAATAACAACCTAAATTATTCCTATTCTAGGGGTGTTTTTAGTTTGCCTATTGTGGATCCTGAATGTTTAATCAGTGCAAATTCTTACTTTTTCTCCCTGGAAATGTTGATGAAATGCAAAAAACATAAAAATAAAAATTGAGAGCTTTGGTTGGCTTCCATACATCACTGCTTGTGGAAGGACACAGCTATTATTTCTATTGTTATTGATGTTATTTCTCCTTTTAGTTAGACCGGTTCCTCACTAAGAGAAGCACAAGTGATTCTGAGATATACCAGCAATGATTTGGCAGCCTGTCTATGTAAGGGCAAAATATTCGACAGTAGCTTAACCAGGGGTCAGAGAGCAGGGCACTGTCCCAGGCACTGATTCAGAGTGAACAGCAGAATGGCAGTCCCTAGGGAGTCTGCACTGCACCTGGGGGCAGGGAGATCACTTTGCAGCAGCAGTTGCTGGGATCTTTAAGTCTTTAGGGCAGGTAAGTCTGACACCTCCTACACACTCTCCAGTGCTCAGCAACTCTCCCACTTCTCTGGTATCTATGCTATGCCTCTCATAACCAATATGTGTGTTTGACACTAGCAACAAAGTTAGTATGTTGGAAATTCTCTAGGAGCCATAACTGAGGTGCCAGACAGAAGACAGAGTAAGCAAAGTATCAGGACTAATGAAAGCATGGAAGAAGGAAATGCTCCTCAGAGAAAAGCCAGAGGAAGGCAAGGCAAAGGCACAGTGAATGAAGCGGGGATGGGAAGCTCAACATTTGCAGCTCCAGTGTCTCCACTAGAGGTACATGAATCTGAAGCCAGAAGAAAGTCAATTGGACAAGAAGCTCAAAGGCTCCAATCCCCAGAAAGGCTCAAAGGCTCCAATCCCCTCCTTGAGCACTGCCCGAGGCCAAAGCGGGCTCCACCTGCACAAAAAATGAGACAATCTGCAGGTTGGTACAAGTGATCACAGGATGTATGAGTCATTGAAGACAGCATCATGTTTCACAGTTTTTCACCTAAGGAGGTAAAGCAAAACCTCTCTTATTGCTGCTGTTATTGTTACTACTAAGGGATCCAATAAAGGGCCAGGCCTGTCGTGCTAGATACTGCACAAACAAGTAACAAGGAGACAGCTCTGGCCCTGGGGAGCTCACTGGTTTATGACAAGATGCAGCAGGTAGATGAATCAAACAGATGATGAAAAAGGTAACAGTAAAGGGAGCCCCTATTGTTAATAGGCAGCGGTGAGCCGAGGCTTCTTTCAATGAGAGATTGTCAAACAGTGGAAACAAAATGTCACTGAAAGATTTCAAATAGCTTTCATTTTTCTGAGTTAAAAAAAAAGTTGTGTGTTGTTTGTTCAACAATTTTGGAAAGATTTTATACAAAATATTTGCATATTTCGTTTGGTTTGTGTGGTTAGTCCCTCATCACACTTTTCCTTCCATTTCTACTCCTCCCCCTTGTTTTTTTTTCTATTTTGCCACAGAAAAACAATAGGGAGAGGAGGGCAGGAAGGAAAAAAGGAGCACTCAGAAAAATTATACAGCAGATGAAATCTACCCCCCAAAAGGCTACATTTAAAAAAATACCATATTTACCTAAATTCAGGATGACTTTGAATTTAAGACAACTGCCTGATAATTAGATTCTAGACATGAAAAGCTTCTTCATTTGATATAATTTTCCATGTATAGAGTCTAATTACTGGGAATTACTAAATTCATCCCCCCACCACTGCAGTAGGGCAAGAAACAGTAGGGGGGAAGGTGGTAAAGCAGTCAAGTGGCTTGACCCATGCCCCATGCCTCCTGCTGCTTGTCTCCTCTGCTACTTGCCTCCACTGCTGCCTGCTCTCCACTTGCACCCCCCACACCTTTCCCACCCCCCTACCTGCCCACTCTAGTGCCAACCCGCTCACAAAGCTGCACCCCGTGACACCTCTCTCCACACCATTTGCCCCCCGCTCCTGCCTGCCTCCTCCAGTGCTTTCCTCCCGGTGCCTGCCCATTTGGCCCCCCCAGTGCCCGTCCCCTGCATTGCCATTGCATTGGTGGGTACCTGCCATCATAGCTGTGGCTCCAGCTCTGGGCCTGCTCCAGTGGCTGTGGCAGCTGCAGCTCTGGCCCCAGGCCTGCTCCCAAGTCTAAGTCAGAGCTGCCATCTTTGCCACAACCACTGTTGTATGGCTTGGCAAGGTCAGAGCCAACATGTGCTCCATGGCCCATGCTGTGGGCTAGAGTGAGATTGGAGCTGGAGCCAGAGCTGCAATGGGAGGGTGAGCGGGGCGGAGGCTGGGCATAGGCCGGGTGAGGAAGCAGAGGCTGCAGTAGCCGGCTTTTGGGGGGGGGGGGCGTGCTACAGGGAAAAAAGAAATCTCATCTTGGAGATATATTTTTGAAATTAGGTAGATTTCCAGTATTGAAAAATCAGGCTAATTTTAATAACAAAACTGTTTCATTCAGAAGTGTCACCCAGGTTTACTTCAACTTCTTTTTTGTATAAGCAAATAGCTCTAGTGGCAATTGCCAAACTTCTGGACGATAAAAGAACATCATTACCTAAAGAGCTCAGGGCACATCTGAAACTACTGGATAAATAGGAGCTGAAGAGTTAGCTGCTAGAACAACACTGCAGATTTACTTGCAGATCTGTTCCTTATCTTGTGAGGTGTTAAGATACCTTCGAAGTGCTGATCATTCCTCAGAGCTGCTGAGTATCCTAAACCCTTATTGAAGTGAGTGGGTGGTGTGGGGGAGCCCCTAGGGGGATGTATTTTGCAAAAGTCAGAAAATACAGTCTTACTTAGCCTTTAACTTTTGTTGTCTCTTAAATATTCCCTTTCAGGAGCAAGAATTGGACAAGCCTATTCCAGACCTGCCTTCATTGACTCATGTGATGGTTCAGAGGTGCCAAGCCGAGATGTCTTTTTCCGCATTAAGGAGAGGGTAAAATCCCTTCCTCTGAAACATGATGAGAGAGCCAAGGCTGCTGGTATTATTAATGAGTTCATTGATTCATTCATTAGTTACCTGAAGAAGAGTGAGGAGAGGTCTTACTTTAAGGAGGTGACCAAGATGACCACAGGGAGCTACTATGAATTTGTGAAAGTGAGTAACTGCCTACTTGCTGAGGTAATGGGTACTGCTATTTTATCTAGTGAAAAATACAAATCAAAAACTAGTCTAGCATCTTATTTTTTTGGTATCTTATGGTATCTTTTATATAGCAATCATCACTGTGGTAATTTTATTGGGATCATATAGCCATAAGTTTATGTTTACATAGTTTATATCTTTTTGCCCAATTAACTGAGGGCCAGACTCTGATAACTTTACTCACCTTACTCAAATAGTGCTTTTGTAATTGGCTAGTCAGTGACATCCCTTGAGGAATAATTTAGGGTACACATTAATGTCGGTTAGAGTACCAGAATCTGGGCCTAAGGAATTAATTCAGTTCACATTCTAGATACCTTGTGCTGTTTTGTGGCTATTGGGATCAGTACACAATCATCTTTGTGACCACTAAATCAGTTATTTGTTACTATGATAAATTATTTTAAGACATTTGATTTTTAAACCCATGCCTTTAGATTACTATCATTGTAACTGTTTATGTTATATATTCTAATGTGCTTTCAGAAGTTGACTTATTATTATTCCTTTTTATTTTACACTGCATAACATCTTCCCACAAAGAGGTTCAAAATGTATCACAGACTGGGTTTGCCTACACGTGCTCCCAACGTGCAGTTGGTATTGCGCAGTCCCAGCAGTGCACAGTTTGTTTTTGAACCTACTGTGCAGTAGCAATGAGTTACTGTGCAGTAGCAGCAGCATCATGGTTAGTGCACACCAGTGCTACGTCATTGTAGTGACAAGATATGTCGCTGTAGCTTTTCGCCAGTGACGTAGTGTCTTTTGTAGACCCTCCCAGTGTGGTTCAGATCCTCAGTTTGTTTACATGATGGACCTTGGTTGACTTTAGTACTTGATCATACTGTACAAGTATTAAGCCTATAAGTATATAGGCATGTACACAAATGTATGCACACGTGCGTACGCAAGCACGCGCACATACACATGCGCGTGCACACACAAAGTATGCTATTGAATAACAGCCTCTTAGGAGAAATAGGTGGCAGGTGTTTATTGGCACCCACTGTAGTTCCAAACAGCAGTGTAGAATTAAAACACAACTATATCTAGCTGAAATCCAGTGGGGTTTTAGAGATGCAGGTGCAATTACTGAGACTGAGGACATCATGTCTAATACACAGCTTATGCAAAACTAGCAACTCTATCAGTATAATCACCCACATATTACCTTAAAGCAGTGGCTTAGTGCCAGCCTTGCAGAGAAAACACTCATTGAATCACATCCAGAGCTGAATTGCATCTTGAGCAGCTATATGCTAGAAGTCAAAGGAGACTTCAAGCTGCTCTGAGTGAGCTGGCATGGAGCCAATGTGGCTAGCTCAGTGCCATCCGCCTTGGCCATATAATGCAGTGTACCAGAGGTGTTTCTGGGCTTGAGGATTAGGGAGATACGTGGCCAGCATGCATTGTACTTTGGCAATATCTACCAGCACAATAGTTCCTACGGGGGTCATTACAAATCAACCCAACTTAGAGCTGTTGACTTATGCCAGGGGCTGAACTTGTTCCTGGCAGCCCCTAGCATCAGTCGAGAAGATTGTACATGCTAGCATTCAGGCCATTATTCATTATACAGGTATCCAGACCCCTCTGACATATTCTCATTAAACTCAAGAAGCCTACGCAGAAGTATTAGGCACAGCCCATGTTACTATAAGAGCCATGAACAGGCAGGGCCCTCCTTTCATTCTGTAGCTGCTGCTTATATAGTTATTTAATTAATCCTAAAACTGATAGCTGATGCCTTTCTGCAGGTTGCTCACCCTGATGAGTTTGACGTAATGCTGTCTCTACCAGTTCCCAAATATGTTCGTTATGAAGAGGTAGCTGGCTATACTGGCCTCTATTACAAAGTTACCTTAGAGAGAAACACCCGGAGCTTTCCCACCCCTTTTCTGCTGGATGATGGATGCACCGTGTCTCCTGTGAAAGTCCTAGAGTTGTTCAGGAAACATGTCAATCAGTTCATCAACTCACACTACCAAGGTAAACAAGAGCTTTTGACTCTGCCAATGGAGACATCTCTGATAAGGACTTCAACCAAATATACAATCATCAACTTTAACACCCTTTCAATATTAATAAATAGGTATTATCGTGAACAAATGCATCATGTATGAAAGGGAGGGATGCAAAAACACTGCCTTGAGCTAAGCAAATTCCACTCTCCATCCCCTCCCTGGCTCCACTAGTTTAATCTGAATCTGTATTTCCCCTAGTATTTGGAACCCGCGTCTCCCCTCCCCCAAATCATTCTGCTGATATCTCTCAGTCCTAATTTGCAGTACTCTCTGCTCCAACTCTTGAATTTGCTTGAATAGCGACTACCAACCATCGCATGAATAGAAAATAAGTGTGATCAAACAAACATGGTCTTGTTTTTCATGAGAATGATGTTTGATGTATAAAGATAGATGTGCTGATACAATATGCTAGCCTTCATGAAATATTTGACTTAGTACCACATGATATCTAGTACCACAGGATTATTTAATCTAAAGAAGAAAAGACTGAGTGTGGATTTGATAATGGTCTTCAAATACCTGAAGGGTAATTATAAAGAGGATGGAGACAGACCATTCTTTGTGGCCACTGGGAACAGGAAAAGGAGTAGTGGCTTGAAATTGCAACAAGAGAAATTTAGGTTGGAGATTAGGAAGAACTTTCTTATTATGAAGGTGGTTAAGTACTGGAACAGGCTATTTAAAGAGACTATGGAATCTCCATCCTTGGACATTTTTAAAAGCAGGTTAGACAAACACTTGACTAGCATAGTTTAGGCAGGGATAATCTTGTTTTGAGCAGGGGATTGGACTAGATGACCTCTTGATGTCCCTTCCAACCCTACTTTTCTAAGATTCTGTGACATGATAATTAAAAATTATGCAAAAATAATATAACACATATTAAATGGATTAAAACTGCCTGACTGATTCCAGAAAGTAACTGTAAATAATAATCTACAAGGAGCATGTCTAGTGGCGTTTCACGGGGATTATCTATTGTCCCACCACAATGCAAAAATTTTATTAATGATCCGGAAGAAAATACAAAATCATTACTTGTAAAATTGCCTGATGACACAAGAATTAGCGGAGAGTTAAATAACAAAAAGGTCAGACCAGTTCTACAGAACAAGCTATATTACTTGGTAGTAGGGACTGCTTGACCAATATGTAATTTAATTTATAGCCTATGCAAAATCATACATCTGGTAAACCAAGAATGCAGGTTAAGGAATAACATTATTTTAGGTAACTAAACATGACTTTGGAGTCATGATGCATAATTGGCTGAAAAAGAGCGCCTAGTGTGAGACTGTGCCTAATAGTTCTATTGTAATTCTTGGATGTGAAATGTAAAACTACTGAATGGGAACAAGGAGGTGAACTCTATGATTGTATAAAGTGATTCGCTGAAATCAAACCTTGGATGTTACCATTAGATGCATTTAGGAGTCAAAACCTGAACCGAGATTAAAGCACCGCACCCCTAAGTAATGGTTTCGAGGCTTACCTCAGCCTGGGGAATATTACAAGCCTTCAAATTCCTTCTTTGGTTTGCATAGACCTGTATTGGTGGTGAAATAGAGATGTCCCACATGATCTGCTTGTAATTATGTCTCTTTGATGTTTACAATGTATTTCTCTCTTTTCCTTTTGGCTTCTCAGTACATTTCCCAGGGTGGAATATGAAGGCACAGAGGAAGAAACCCAACTGCCCAGCAGTTACTGTCATGGTACTAGATGATAAAGGTGGTGAGGTGATATCTATGGATCTTGTTCCTGCTCTGGAAATTTCAGCCTCATGGCCTCCTTCATGTGGTATAGGGAAGGGTGTTGAAAAGTGGCTGGGGAAGAAAAGCATGATATGGAGGAATAAGTCCTTTTATTTTGTTGCCAAGCAGCCACCTGGGGAAGATAACAAAGGTAATTTAATTCCCTTTCCTAACTAACTGTCTACCTCAGCAGATACCCTCATTTAAGTGATGGGACTAGAACTGAGTTTATAACCTAGCTGTCTGCGAGAGGAGCACAAAACACTGCAGAACCAAACTCTACCCAGTTTGTTTGTCTCCCATGAGAACTGGACTATACTCATTATATTGTGACATCTGTGGCATATCTGACATCTTCTGTAAATGTAGGAAAAGTGCCCTTCTAAGGACTCATGGCCAGACCTTTATCACTTTTCTTCCTGCATTGATTTCCTGTTTAAAAAATTACCAAGAATAACTTTAAATTATTTAACTTTAAATACCTCTTAAATGTTTAAGTAACCTTAATTAAGCCTTGGACTGAAAGTATTTCAAACCTGCACACAGATAGACAGCCTGGCATTGAGATGGCTGCATTGTTATATATGTTCTATATTGCAGAGACCTGGAGAATTTCTTTTTCTCATATTGAAAAGAAGATTTTGAATAACCATGGCAACACTAAAACCTGCTGTGAATCTTATGGCACCAAGTGCTGCAGGTATGTAAATCGAGGGATCAAGCATGAGTCCAACTGAGGATGTCTCTCCTGCCCCTTGGGTTAGTACAGGTGAAATCAACATCCACACAAGGGTAGGACGAATATTTTTAAGAAATAATTTATTCTACAGATTACACCTCCTTTCTGATTCACATATTGTTCATGGACAGTGTGTGACATTTTCCCTTGATTTACTTTTTATTTAAAATGAGTCAGTGAAAAATGCTGTCCTGTCATTAATGAGTTATTTGCTTTGAATATCCAGTGTTTAAAATTAAAGTGTTCTTGATTTGACACACAGACCACATGGTAAGACTTCCTTAGCTAGACTGGATAAGTGTACCCCTGTCCACAGCTGTCCACTATGAACACAAATATGACTTAAGACCTCTGAGCAGCACTTATGGAAAACATTCTTGCCATAGAAAGCCTGAGCACCTCCTATTTACCATAAAGGATCTTAAACATACTCTTCCATCTTCTTTCCCTTGCAAACTTATTTGGGCCTCTAGAATAAATCGGGAGTAATGTGTGGGGTGATGGCAAGTTCTCTCCTTAATTACACATTGTGAATCTACAGTAATTTACTGGTTTGCATCAGTGGAGTTATTCTGGATTTTTTTCTGGTTTAAATGAGCTCAGAATTTTGCACATTCTGTCTGAATTACTTAAAAAGAAAGGAGTTCCCTGTGGTTCAGTGGTAGAATCCTTGTCTACCACAGAGGAGACCTGGGTTTGATTCTCAGACACTTATACAACTACAGCCATGGAGGCACCGAACATCTGGACTCAGTCTGGTCTTTGGATTCTGGCTCAGTGGCCTAAAGGGAGGATGGAAGGTCTGGGAAGTAGGGGTGTGCAAAACAGGCCATATTTGATTTGGATTTGGCCTGAATTGGGGAGAATGATTCGATTAGTTGATTTGGATCACTTTCCCTGTTTGATTCGGCTGAATCCAAATCTGAAGATTTGTTGCTGATTTGGAGAATCAGTGGTTTAGTCATAGACACAGTTTTAAATGTTTTTTTTACATACCTTGAGGTACCAGGTGTGGCTCATGAATGCTGAGATAGTGGGGTGGGTAGAACATCCCACAGGAGCGCAGGGCCCCCCGACATGCTCCCCAAGTGCTTCCAGTCCACTTCCAGGTCGACCGCCGAGCGCACAGGGGGCCCTCCCTGTGCCTCCCCAGCTCGGCGATCAGCCACAGGGCGGGGATGCCAGGTGCCCCTGCAGACCCAGGAGGTACCAGTTGCTGAGCCAGGAGGGTGCGAGGGGGACCCCCCATGCTCTCCCCGGCAGACCTGGAGGTAGACCAGAAGTGCTTCTGGTCCACTTCTGGGTCTGCTGCCAAGTGCACTGGGGACTCCCCCACACTCCTAAGGGATGCTTCATCTGCCCCAGCATCACAGCACTCATGAACTGCCTGCTACCTTGAGGTATGTAGAAAAAACATTTAAAGCTGTGTCTGTGTCCAAATCATAAATCTTCCCGAGTCTCTTTATCAATTTGGAGGGTTCTGATTCAATTAGGAGAAATTAACGGGTCTCCTGATTCAATTCAGATTCGACCACTGAATCGGGCCAAATCTCCTCCAAATTGAATCAGTGACCAAAGCTTCGTACAGCCCTACTGGCAGTCTCCACTCCTCCAAAAATGCCTGCCCAGGCATATGCATCGAAGGTCTGGGTGGCTCTTATACATACACCATGATCCAAGAGGATCAACAGTTGCCATTTAAAAAGATAAATATCTGGAACTAGAACATTTTAAATGTGTAATACCATATTTTGAAAAGCATTAGGTCTCCTTAAGGTGTTGTGATTTGGTTAGTGGGGACTAATGATAAATAACAATGACTATGAATAAAGTTTAAACTTTCCCCCCTATATAGAAAAAACTGTATTCGGCTGCTGAAGAGCCTTATTTCAGAGTTGAAGAAACAGTATCCTCGGCAGCTAAGTCACATGTGCTCCTACTATGCCAAGACCTCTTTTCTTCATACTCTGACACAGGTAAAGGATGACTCAGACTGGAAACCCACACATGTTGTCTACTGTTTTCTCAGGGTCCTAGATGATTTCATTCAACATGTGGAAAATGCAAGCTTGTTCCATTTTTTTATTCCAAACTGCAACTTGTTTTCTAGCTTACCTCCCAAGGAGCTGAAATTCCTTCTAGACCTTTTACAAGAGCAGAAAAATAATGGGTTGCCAGCATTTGCAATTCATGAGGAACAGTCTCTTTCCCATTCTTCTGCTCATGGTTTTGCTACTGAAATGCATAGAAACAATAGCTTTGTTAGTGTTATATGTATCTTGCTAGCTTTCTTGTGTTTTTATACAATTCTTCTTTCTGTCTAGATTGGGGCGAATCAGTCAATATGATTTTAGAAAGAATTTCCCTTATTTTCTTTATAGTTAGAATGGATTAGGTTGATTGTACGATCAGATAGTATTGTAGGATCTGCCTCTTTACAATGACAAAATAGTTCCAAGCACCCCTTTCTGACCCTCACTTACTCTATCTCAACCCCCCTCCACTCCTTAGTCTTGTGGTTACCAGGAAGGGTTAATATAGGCCCATGCGTGCCAGTCCTAAATGGCTCCTGCTCATTGTGAAAAATCTAACTCATTCTGGAGTTCATGCCAGCTTCTGGAGCAGCCCAGAACTAGGGACTCATGAAGGTGACCATGAAAATTAAGATAACTTGTGCCTTTTTCTCCTGAAGAACAGCTCTTGAGAAGCACAGCACAGGATCTGGCCCAGTACTTTCTATTTCTAGCTATTCCATTCCATGCCACTGGGCATTTTTACATGTGCTTTGCGGTGGGTGGCTGGGGGTGGGGTGTATGCTTTCCTTATAGCTGCTCTTGCGAGCCATTCTAATTAAAGCATCTGCATCTGCGTCTGATGTATTCAGCATCTCACACTTCAAAAGGGCAGCAGGGACACTTTAGTTAAAGTGGTCTTGCCGCCATTTTGAAGCATGAGGATGCTGAATGATGTGATGCTGCTGGAGCATGCTAATTAGCACACTCCAGCAAACTCGATTAATTGGGTCTGCCCCAATGCATAACCTTAACTGAGTTTGCGCCAATGCATTTAAATTAGAATGCATCAGAGTGCATGCTGGGCATGTATGTAGGTACCCACTGAGGCTGCTTGCTTCTTCCTCTGCATCTGAAATCTTAAGTAGAGATAGGACTAGTTGCTGTGCAGTCCTAAATGTTGGCATGTGGATATATAATTATGCAGACAGGGGCCAACTGAAAATTTTCAGACCTTGTTCCAGATCCCTCCACTTTAGGGGAATTATTATGGTTTCACTTTAGATTAATCTGTAATCATAAATGTCCTCTTCAGTATTGTGCTTTCAAATAACACACATAGTGCAACTCCACCCTAACTGGAAATACATTTTTCTTTGCAAAACCAGCCTTTGTTCCTGTATTGTTGAGATTTGAATGTATGTGCAGGTTAATCTCTCTTGGATTTCTCATTAACTCTGTGCTTTGCCTTTGCTAGTCTATTAAAAAAAACATGGTTTCAAACAGCCTTTTAGTATGAAACTGGACTGAACAAGGTTGCAACAGCAAATCTTGCTGTTAAGAGTCGAACCTATGGAAGTAGATGGTAAGCCTAGGCCTGATATACTAGGGGAAATACTGACTCATTTCTGAAGATAAAACCGCAGATACTGCACTGTTCTCAAAAATATATTTAGATTTGGAGACAATTAAATGATGCAAGGCCAGGGTGGGGTTGCTTATCCTAATATTCCATATATTACACATATAACAAAGCTCTGGTGGAGTGATAACCTTCTGTATCTGGAGTGGAGCACTTTCTATGAGTAGCTCAGCACAGGAATTAGGCCCTTAAGAGAGAAGATTTTGCTGCTGAGTAGAGGCATATTTGGAAATGCTGGGTAAGCAGCTGTTTTTCTGCCTCTGTCCATTAATTCCTGGGTCAAAAATACATCCATTTCTCTCAGCCATTTGAGACAGATGCCTTTGGGTTTCAGATGTGCTCTGCTGTTAGGCTGAGTAATTGTGGAGATAAGACCCTAGCCAACCAACTTGTTATTCAGCACCATGTCATAGTTAAGGGTTAAAAGTAAAGAAGAGAAGCATAGCTCCTCTTCCTTTGCTAAAAACTGAGAGCTCCCCTTCTTAATCCTAATACAGCTCCTCCTGCTTACTCCCCCTCCTGTTTCAATCTGCTTTGCATAACTGAAACATGCATACATTAACTTCCTGAAAGTCTCCACTCGGCCTGCTCTTGTAACAGGCTTCTGCTCCCATGTCTCTGAGCACAGCAACAACAGCATCTTTTTAGCAGAGTTGTGAGCTAAAGAGACTTATTTCTTAGGCCCCTGTTTTGGAGGCTGAATGGCACAGTCACAGGCCTGAGTGGGTCTCTGAGCAGAGAGTGTTAATGGGGGAAAGTTAAACTGGTGAGCTTGACCCATAAGTACTGGCTCTTGAATGTATCTAATTGAGATGACAAAATAAAAAATCCTTCATACCTCCATGCAGGTTGTACTTAATGAAATATATTGTGTCTCTCTACAACATGCAACACCTAGACACCCCAGCTTATAAGACTCTGAGGATTTTCTAGAAAGTTTTGCCACTGTAGCCTAAGTTGTCAGAGGAGGCCAGAAAAGTAAACTTCCTTGAGTCTGTTCTCAGCTTTGTTGTAGACTTCTGTGACTCTGGATCAGTCTTTTGTCCGCACTGTACTTTCCTTACCCTACAACCCTGATGATAGGTTCCAAGTTACACGTAGGTTATCTTTTGGTAATCTGTGTACGGTTCTTTGAGATTCTCAGATAACAGCTGCAGTGTTGCAAACGCTCATGACTTTTTGGCATTGCTCTTAAAGTCTATGCTTCGGGAATGTGAAAAACTTAGCCTTTTCTTTTATATGTATACATAAATATAAATATATAAAAAAGAAAGAGCTACATTTCTCACATTCCCAAAGTATATAGTTTAAGAGCAACACCAAAAATCATGAGTGTTGGCAACACTGCAGCTGCTTCAGGAATGATCATGATGTGTTTATGGGCCTCAAAAGATTTTCATGCTGGTGAAATTGGGACGAGGGATGCTTTTTGCAGAGAAATGGGGGACTTTTGCTTGTGGCATCCTCCCCCACAATGTCATATATTACCCATTTGACACAATGGCTCATGTTTTGTTTTTCAGAAATCCTTTAAAAAGTCATATTTTTTGCTGGTGATAAGTATTTTAATTGTAAACCAGGCCAAGTCCTATGAGTCTTCGGGTGAATATGCACATTTGTGGGTGTGCATGCCTCTACACCTCAAATGTCTTTTTGTTATTACACACCCTTCTAAAGCTTCTGAAAACAGTAGCCTGTCAAACTGCATGTCTTCCTGTGAATAATGTCTGCAGCAGATACACTTCATCTGAAGAATTTATCTACCACCAGAGGGTGGTGTAACTATGCACTTTCATGCACCCGGGACAAGTGCTAAATGAAACTACAGGTTTCTTTCATGAGGATGGCCTTGTTGCTGGAAGCAGCAGAGTGGTTTTTAAAATAAAGTCTGTGCAGGGTGGTGCTGCACCTTCTAGTACTGCCTTTTTCCCATTTTTTACTTTGCTAATCTGTGTTAGCAGTGATTGAATCACCACACTTCCCAGTGCTAGACAAAGAGGAGTTCTGCCTGTCAGATTGTAACAGGCCATTTTTACAATGCTTTTCATGCAGCTTAGAAAGCTTTATGTTCACTATGGAACATAGACCTAATACTTTTGACTGTAGGCAGGGAAGATGTCACTACTATTATTATCTCATCCCTCTCCTCAGCTCTTCAGGAGTCCCCCATGCTCCTGTGAAACGGACATTGGCTCAGAAGCAAATGGGGGCAGGCGGGTGGGGAACGGGAAATATAAGAACCCAGATTGAAGTTTACAGCTTGATTTGATAAACAGCCACTCCCATCTTTCCAAAATCTCTACCAAAGCACTTATTGGCTAACTGATCTTGTTTGCATTCTTGGGTAGCATGGCACTGCTGTGGATGTAGGGCTGTAGGAGGTAGGGCTGTGCAAAATTTTGACCGCTGTATAATTTCTGAAACGCTTGAAACTCTGAATCTGAAATGAAATGGGAGACATGTCAAAACGATTGAAGTGAAATGAAACAAGTCAAAACGTTTTGAAGATGTTTCGGCGTTTTGAAGTTGTTCTGAAGCTGGGCTTACAGGGAAAGGTAAAGTAAGTAGAGGGAGGGGGTATAGCAGGGAATAGACTGACATCTGTAGCTGGCCAGTGTGTGCCAACTGTCCCTGAGGTCCCTTCCAATCCCAGTGATCTGGGGGAGGGACCTACAATTTTAAAAACAGCATATAAGCCTGTGAGGCTGTGCTTAAGCTGTCAGCCTTTGTCAGCTTGTCTCTTGCCAGGGAGCAGCATCTGAAAGGCACTGACTCTGTCTGCTTCCTAGCTGCTACCATCTAGGTAGGGAGTGTGTCTTTTACTTGCAGAGGGTTTGATAGGATACAGCTTACACTGACAGCTTAGCTATACTAGCCTAACTTCAATACTAGTATTGTTATTAGGGCTGTGTGAAGCTTCGGTCCCTGATTCAATTCACCAGAAATTTGGCCCAATTTGGAGGCTGAATCTCCAAATCCCAATCGAATCAGGAGACCCATTAATCTCTCCAAATTGAATTAAAACCCTCTGAATCAATTTGGAGAGATTCAGAAAGATTCAGAGATTTGGACATAGACATAGCTTTAATTGTTTTTTCTACATACCTCAAGGTAGCAGGCAGCTCATGAACACTGTGATGCTGGGGCAGATGGAGTGTTCCACAGGAGCATGGGGGGCTCCACAGCACACTTGGCAGCAGACCCTGAAGTGGACCAGAATCAATTCCGGTCCACTTCTAGGTCTGCCAGGGAGCATGCTGGGAGCCTCCTGTGCCCCCTGGGCTTGGTGACTGGTGCCTCCTGGGTCTGGAAGAGCACCTGGTGTCCCCCCGTGGCCGAGCTGGGAGGGTTGTGGGGTGATGGGAGGTAGCGCACTCCGTGGTGGACCTGTAAGTAGACTGGAAGTACTTCTAGTCCACTTTCAGATTTGCTGCTGAGTGCACTGGGGAGCCCCTCATGCTCCTGTGGGATGCTCCATCTGCCCCAGCATTGCAGCATTCAAGAGCCATGCCTGCTACCTCAAGGTATGTAGAAAAAACATTTCAAGCTGTGTCTATGGCCAAATTGCTGATTCTCTGAATTAGCATCAAATCTTTAGATTTGGATTCAGCCAAATTGAATTTGGGACAGTGATCTGAATCAACTAATTGAACCACTGTCCCCGATTCAGGCTGAATCCGAATCTGAACTGAATATGGCCCGTTTTGTATACCCCTAATTGTTATTCCAATATAATTTTTTTCCCTATATCCATTCCTTTGAAATTATTCTTTTTTTTTTTTAACCTGAAGAAAAATAAATCTGTGTTTTGTCTGACAGTGTGATCGCTGGGCATTGTTCAGGAAAGCACAGCATAGATTAGATAGATCACACACAGAGACACCTACATATATACACACACTACACAGTCAGACACCTTTTCTAGCACAGGAAAACATGAAGGGTGCTAGAAAGACCAGTGCTGCCAAGTCTGGGAGTGAAGCGAGAGGGGGCAGAGGGAGAGGTGTCAGTTCCCCATCACCCAAGCTGAGACACAGTCTCTTTTTAACCAGCCATGAGGCTTCTGCTGGTACTGGGAGCAAGGAGGTTGCAGCACTGCCTGCAGCTGCACCCCCTCTGACACCAGCTCTGATAATAAACCCCAGCACCAGCAGCATGACAACAAGCAGCACCAGCAGCAGTTTCCTCCACCCCAATTACAGGTCCCAGCATGAGCCTCCCACTCACAG